TTACAGTTTGCACACAAAAATTTAATTTTTTTCAACTAATAGGAACTATCGCAAAATTGCGGTTTGAAAATAATGTGTTTACGGTTTTGACAGATTATTAATGTCGACGTATACGTAACCACAGCTGTCATAATATATACGTAACTTCGTATTTTCACATTGTGGAGAATTTTTTCTGTTTCATTAATAATGAATCATTATTTTCTGTAATAAATAGAAATTTATTTATTTATAATTCTAATAGAATGAATTTGAAAAAATAAATAGAATCATTTATATGAAATAAAAATAATTCTAATTTGAAATAATACGATTTTGTTAGGTTCCCATAGAATGGTGTGAGTATTTATAATTTAGTTGTATTATTTTATATGCTTTATGTGTGTGTACAATGATTTTTAATTGATTTAATTTCAATTTGATTTACTTGAATGATTTTTAATACAATTTTTGTGTTGAAACTATAACATTCAAATACATTCCAAATTATTGAAATAAATTTGATTTTTGCATCTAATTCACACTAAAATCAGATGGCGCTCATTAGCGAGATTCGCAAAAAAAAGTCTCCAATCTCATATACGTCAACCCCCCTTGCGTACACCATACAGGGTACAGTGTACAGTGTGCCACATTCCCACATTAACATGGCCAAAAACCCGTTGCTCTGTGATTTTTAATACCCAAAATGCATAAAAAAACGATTTTTAGAGATTTCAGCATTTTGGGGTGATTGCAATACTTTACTCCACACAGTGGGTGTGCGGAAAAGTAAAAACTAGGGCAAAAAAATGCACAGGAATTCACGTAAATTCACACTTTTGAATCGAGTGGTTATTGATGAGTTCGGTGAATTCGTGTGAATAGAATGAAATGTGTCAAAGTGAGGTTATGATAACCGCAATATTTTTTAATTTATTATTTTTCCAATATTTCCGATTGTTTCTGATAGAAAATCGCTCAAAATTGAAAATAAAATTAATTTTTATTAAAAAAATATAAAAAACATTTACAATTTTGTTACACAAAATATAAATATTGCAGTAATTGCCAGCAGAAACTATTCACCACTATCTCACATATTTGAATGAAATCGCTGTGAAATTCACTGGAATTCATTCGTTTGCTGAAAAATTCAGTTAATTTAGATATTATTATAGAATTCAGTCGTTGAAAATTTTGAATGAAGCCCCTAGAGTAAAAGTCAAAAATAAAAGACGATGAATTTAAATTCTTCTCTATCAGCATATGGATGATAATTTTTACTGAAACGATTTTAGTTGTTTTTTTACTAAAATTTTAAAGTAAAAATAACTAAAAAAATTCCCTTCATATTACCGAAAAAAAAATTCCATAAAATTGACTATACATTTTCAGTAAATATACAGGGACCGGTTCGTGCATATTTCTATGCTTGCCTAGATACGCTAGGTAGCATAGATATGCCAAGCATAGCGGCAAATGCAACCGACGCATCGCCGTCCACTCTGTATGAACATACACATGTTCGTGTATGCAGGCGGCCGTGCTTTGAGAGACGTACGCATAAGATATAGCTCGAATCGAATGACGACGGGTGCGTTGCGGCTTGCCTCTCCGCTATGCTTAGCATAGCTATCAGGCATAGAAATATGCGCGAACCGGTCCCTCCTTCATATTACCGAAAAAAATTCCATAAAATAAACCGATTTTTTTCAGAAATATTTACTCAAATTTAATAGTGAATTTTATGGAATTTTTTTTCGGTAATATGAAGGGAAATTTTTTGGAAATTCCCTATCAGCATATGGATGATAATTTTTACTGAAACGATTTTGGTTCTTTTTCTAAAATTGTAAAGTAAAAACAACCTATAAATGTAACTCAAAAATGTTCCTTCATATTACCGAAAAAAATTCTATAAAATTGAATATAAATTTTCAGCAAATATGTCAAAAAAATTTCTCTTCATATTACCGAAAAAAAAATCCATAAAATAAACCGATTTTTTACAGAAATATTTACTCAAGTTTAATTGTAGAATTTATGGGAATTTTTTTAGAAAATAAAATGAAAAGTTTACGGTAAATTTAAATGAAAAAAGCGTTACATTTTTTTAGTAAAAAATACTGAAAACAAAACATTGGAAACAACATAATTGAACACTGAAAATAATCGGAATATGATATTTTTTATAATAACCCCTCCTCCGAAAAATCGCACTTTCACGTTTATACCCCCCTAACATTTCAAGGGTACGCACTTTTGTTTGGTGCTGTTCGGTTAATATTCCAATTTACCATAGATATTACTTTTCCGCACACACCTAGTGTGTAAGGTAAGGTATTGGAATCGGTCGAAAAATTAATACCCTCAAAAAACATTTCTGGGTGTTTTAGGAGCCAGGGAACACGAATCTAGCGTTTTTTTGATGTCCGAATGTATGTGCGATCGCTGTACGCAAAAATTTGTTAACACGATAACTTTCAAACCAGAAAAGTAATTCAAAATCTGACTTCACAGGATGATTGGGGGTGCCGAGGAATAGAAACCATTGGATTTTGAGCGACTTTGGTTGATAGAGTGAAGTGTCATGTCTGGTATGATTCCCATGGCCATCCATAGGAAAAATTCAATTTTTCTTCCAAAGGTGATGTTTAATATATTCTTAAACACTCAAAAATATATTGGGGGGGTTTTGGGTACGAGAAAACCGAATATGACGTTAGTTTTGCGATACAAATAATTTTCGACACACTTTTCATACAAATATTACAAAAAAATTGGAAGCCATGCCTGAATGATATCGTAATGAGCTGAAACTTTGCACAGGTTATTTTTATCACACAAAAATACCATTCCGAGAGTTTGAAGACATTTCAATGCATATTAGGGGTACCTCCTGAACAAAATTTTGGATTTTTCGCTCAAAAACGAAATGTTGTATGGGAAGTGTGCCTTAATATGCATTGAAATTTCTTTAAACTTTCGGAATGTTAGCCTTTTGTGAAAAAAATAACCTCTGCAAATTTTCACATGATTACGATATCATATAGGCATGGCTGCGATTCAAAAATTCCCATTTTTAGTAGTTTTTGTATGAAAAGTGCTTCGAAAATTATTTGTATCGTAAAATTAATGTCAGATTCAGTTTTCTAGTGAATTCTTTGAGTAAAAGATTTGTAATAAATGCATGTTGTGGATCACGGTGCGGAAAAGTTCATCTTACGGATGTAAGACATTTTATTTTGATTATTTTCTCATTCCACCGTTTATGAAGTGTGTAATGAGATTTATAATTGTAATCGTTCATTTCGTTTCAAGTATTTTTTTTATCATTATTCAAGCTAAATTCAAATTTCATCTTTGAAGGAGTTATACCAACAACATTCTTAATTTTTACTCATCTTTTCTTTTTTTAGAGAGAGAGAGAGAGGGAAATAAAATGTCTTATCACTGTTTAAACATTTCGAAGCAATTGGCTTGCTGTAGCAAATGTGGTCAAATCTAATTGGTTGTTTCGACATAAATTTAAAAATCAGACCACTATTTTGAGATTGAGCATTTTAATCAGTCTCAACTATATATTTATTCACAGTCATTTAACCTTGTGTCATTGCTATAAATATGGAGGTTAAACGCAACAAGTAATCATTCTATTTGGAAGATACTTTCGGTAATTTCACATTTCGATTGCCGCTTTCATTATAAGAATAGTGTTGCTATTAAATTTATTGGATTAACTTGTTAATAAATCCTTGAGGGAGGGAGTGTTTAATTCAACCAAATAAGATGATGAAATTTTTATTTGTGATTGTTTTTCTCGTCGGTGCGAGTGTACAAGGTAATTTTATGTGAAGACAAACAAATAGTGAAAATTTAATATCCCTAGTAACGAATCTAATATCAATTATGTCAATGTTTTCAATCATTTTCTCAGACAATATCAACGGTACTGATGGCAGTGAATATCTTTACAATGCCATTAAATCAGGTTAGTTGAAGACGATGAATATTCCTTTCATTGAATGATTTCATATATTCACAACGGCTTTTGATGTTTAAATTATTTCCGTTCATTAAATCTAGGCAAAGTAGATGTAGTCACATTTCTAATCGATAACGGTACAAATGTGAATTCGTTTGAAAATTCTGGATTGACACCACTCCAATTGGCTGTTGCTAAAGGTATTTTTCAATTGGGAATTGAAAATATAGCATATGTTCATTAAAATTATATATATTTTGTTGCAGGTCAAACGGAGATATTCAAAATTCTCATCGAACATGGAGCTGATGTGAATTATGTAAACAAGAAAAATATACCTCTACTTCAGATAGCAGCAATGTTCGGTAATTTAGCACAATTTTGAATTAACAATTTCTTATCTACGTACTAATCAATGTTACTTTAAAAACTTTCAGATAATTTGGAAATATGCAAAATCTTAGTCGCAAATGGAACAAACGTGAATGCAAACAACAACAAATTCACACCATTACATAGTGCCGCTTTATTCGGTGATTGCCCATATGTTTAGAAAGTAGAATTGATTTTAGTTGATTTAAGTTATTAACTGTTTATCTGCTTAATATTTCAGGCTCAAATGACACGGTTGAATATTTAATTGAACATGGAGCAAACGTAGCTGCCGAAGATGGTTTAAAGTTTACACCTTTACACTGGGCTGCCATGGCTGGTATAATTTCCAATTTTTGAATAGTAAAAATGAAATTCAAATACTTTGTCTGTTTGATCAACATTTCAGGCAATTTAAAGACTTGTAAAAGTCTAATTGCACATGGAGCGGACGTTAATGCAAAAGCCGAAGGGAATTTTACACCTTTACATGCCTCAGCTGTTCTTGGTAATTATTTATGTTTTTTAAATAATTAATATTATATGTGTACGATCAATGCGCCAAAGTATTAAATTCATTTAATCAATGTTCCAGGCAATAAGGAATCTGTTGAATATCTGATTACACAGGGAGCTAATGTCAATGCTATCGGTGGAATGGGAAAGGCCTCCATGCACACGCCTCTTCATGATGCTTACTATTTTAGTAATTCCAAATATTTCAAAATAAACATTGAGAATTTCCAATATAAAATTTGTTTTCTCTTTTCAGGCAATAAAGAAATGCAAGAGGTCTTGATTGCCAATAAAGCAGATGAAAATGCAAAAGACAAAAATAATAAAACACCACGTGAAATGGATACTGGTAATGATTTATTTTAAATTAATATTTAATAGAGACATTTTTTAATCGAAACTGTTTAATTTAATATTCTAGAGAAAGGAAAAATAGAAAGATCCGGTTTGGTTGCCTTTATAAATGATGGGAAGAGAATGTTCCAAAACTTATAGGAAATGTAAAGTCACTTTCATCTGAAATGTAGAATAATCAAGCTAAACCCGATTTTTTTATTCACTTTTCAGACAACGAAGAATTTACGCTGATGTGAATGCGAATAACATTGATGATAAGATACCGAGTAAAATAAGTACTATTAGTGCTTCATTTAATTTGAAAATGACGTTTTACAATAAAAAAATGTTCTAATTTCGTTTTGTATATAAAAATAAATACTCCGATTTACCACTAAATTTTCATACCTTCTCTGCCATATTTATTATGAATCTTAACTTGCAAATGTATGAAGGAATAAGGAGCGATCATCTTCAGATCATATCAAACTCCTTCTAAAACCTTTGACGTCAATGCCCTCCCCAAATCTCTGGCGCAGTCGGATCGGACGTCCGGGAATTTGCTAAGGCTTTCGGACCGGACGGACGGACAAAATTGGACAAATTTCTGTCCGTCTGTGTCCGGTTGACACCTTTAGGCGCAGATAATAGGCCCTATACAGATATTTTGAATTTTTCTTGGAAAATTATATATTCGAAACATGGTTCATTTTAAATTATACTGTTATTACTAAATTCGTTTCAATAAAATGGGAAATCTTAAGATCTTTCGATATTAATTCTCAAATCAGAGAGCTGTATCAATCGTCCACTCTTTCTGTTTTTCTCTCTTTCCATTTCACTCTCTTTTTCTTACAGATTCTCAGACAGATCTCAAGCCTTTCAATGTGTAATGATTTCGATTCAGTTACTCTTAAAATATGACAATAGAAGCAATACTATTACTTCCGCATCGCTGCATACAATGGAATTCAAGTGGTTATTAGTTTATTGATGCATGTTAAGTTCTTTTTCGCTTATTTTGATTAATCTGCTTATGAATCAAAGTCACATTTCATCATCTATCACAATTGCTTATTTTTAATGTCTACCGATTAAAGTGAGAATACCGAATTCGATGATCTCGATTGGTTTTCTACAAATAATAAAGAAATTTCTTTATCAAAAATTTGGATTAAAAAATTGCTCGTAATTTGAAAGCACTTGTGAAAGAAGTGGTTTTAAGGTACAAAAATGTCAATAGCTGTTCTATTCTCATTAATGCTGAATAAAAATCATATTTCACCTTTGTTCACGTGTCTAAGAAGCGGTCTTATTACCAAGTATCACATTTACCGACCCCTTTAAAAAAACATTAACCGATTTGTTCACATTAGTTGAAATTTAAATGGAATAAAATCGATGAGAATAAAAAACATAAGTGTTTGTATGAGTGATGATGAGAACTAGGGGATAAAAATGCGACAATAAAAGTAAACATCGTCCACCCTTCTCACACTCTCTTTCATATTCCCGTTTGCGGTAGCATTTGCATTGTTCGCTATAAATCCCGTGTGCATGTGCGGTTGTGTGTATATCACACTTCATCATCAAAATACAATAATAAGGATACACGGTTGCGTCTATTCACACTTGTCATGAAGCGTCGTCGAGACAGCACCGACCGAATAGCAACAGTAAAAAATAGCTCACAAACAGTTACATTTCAATTTGAAAGTGATACAAAATTCGCTGTGAATGAAATATTCTCAACGTCAATTTAGCATTTGGAGTGCGAGCAACCCGAATACGAAACATATATACATTAAATATGGCATTATTGTGTATGCATTGCAGTATGTGTGTGTGTGTGTGTGGTGCACTCGTCAATGCCACTTTTAAACGAAATTGTATACAGAGAGGTACTACCTTCTTCTTACTCAACAGGCAATTCAACAATAAAATATCAGAGATTTGTGCGCGACGCGCGACAATCCAAACGCCACTCTTTTACCAAATAGCAATCACTATTACGGCAACGACAACCGACGACCGACGATGATGATGTACAATATCATTCTCTAATATGCATTGCAAACGCACACAACGACACATCCCCGTACCAATTTTGAAGAACTGACACACCGCTTCGCCTCATCATCACATGAAACATGAAAAATCACTGGCAAAACACTACGGCTCGTTTGCATACCATTTCATTTGATCCGAAGCACTCACTACGACCGGAACACATTTTCATATCACATTCACACCACAAACAATACTCTTTTAACGATAACATTTTTCGCGTTCGACGAAGAAATTTTATTTATGTAATTCATTAAATTTATTTCATATTTTCGTTTTACATGAAGTTTTTTTTTCGGGAAAAGTTTTTTAAGTGAATTAATCAGTTTTTGTTGACTTTTTTGAAAACAACAAAAGACGGAAAATATAAAAAATTTAAAGGGAACTTAATACAGCAAAAAAGGGAAATTAACGAGAAATGTAAGTTGTAAAAAATTGGAATTTTATATTCGATGTGATTTTAACTTAAATTTCGGTGATTATTCAGTTTTTTCACTTTTACGTTGGAAACGTTTTTTTTTTTATTAAGTTCTAATTTTCACAGTTTTATTCGAGCAATTCAGTTATTTTTTTAATAAATTGAAACGAAAAAAATTCAAATGCAAAAATGCCATCAATTGAATGAAACATAAATCGGTGGATTTTTGTGAATTCTCATAAAAAATTAAAAAAAGCTTGAATGAATTTTATGCAAATTTCCGTAATTTTCCATTTTCTCATCATTTTTTGCATATTGGTTTTAAGAAATTGAGATAATTGCACGGCGATTCTAGTTCAGAATTTCTAGCGAGAACAATTTCCCCAGAAAAGTCGAAAAATTTAAAAAGTCGAAAATTATATCTTCCAAAAATCAGCGATTTTAGAGTAAAGTTAAGTTTTGGTTCGTTTTTCGTTATTAGAATTTCTAATTTAGAAATGGGAGAAAAATAATCTATACATGAAGGGAACATTATTTTAAGCAAAAAGTGTGAAAAACTGAGAATTTCAAGGAATTTTTTTTCTTCATTTTATTTACTTCCAATATTCCTTTCTATAAATTTGTTCGAAAATTCATTAATGGTGGCTTCAAAGAACTTTCGAAATGATACCGATCGTTTCTCAAATGTGTATAATATGTAATTTTAAATGTATTTTTCTTATTTGATTTTTTTACTTGAATTTCGATCAACAGTTATTGATTCAATTTTAAATCGGTCTGAGTTCCCAAGGAAAAATTATTTCCAAATAAGCGTATTTCGGTCTCCTAAAAAACTCAGATGTTCAGCTAAAGAAATGTCATCGAATAAAAATCCATGTTTCGTTCGTGCTCTTGAAAAAGGTTTTCTTCATTATCATTTACGTTCTTCGCTTGCCTCACCCACCTATTATATATTAAACACACTTTTATAATTGCAAAACTGCGTAATAAGAAAAAGCAGTAAAACGGAAGTAAATCAAAGAACAAATAAAACTATTTTAATAAACAAGACACAAGTTGGAGAGTTGCTGGCGCGAATCGATGTGAACGTAGAAGTGATGTTGTCTTGCAAGTTTTAACATGTTATAAAGTTTTAATATTTGCCGTTTGCATTTCCGTTACGAATGTTTGCATGCAATTCGAATGAAAACTTGTGCATCAAAACTTTATGAACGACAAGGATGTGGAAGGAAATTCTATATACATATTTGACTCACCCCTCTCTCTCTCCTCTCTTCCCCCTGTGATTCTGTTTACTTTTTCCATATATTTACAATTCACCGTTTGCTCCTGTCAGCCGGATGAAAAAGAATGTTTCAAAATAATTACAGAAAAAAATAGTCACTTGAAAGATGATGCCTTGAAAGCATATTTTTTCACACAAAAAAAAACGAAGCGAAATCTCCCACCTTAAATGGACGTGGATTACCACTTTCATCGTCGCTTTTTTTCGTGGGTTGAAAGACGGAAATCCGTTGCGAAAACATAAGCATGCAATACAAAAAATGATGACACACCAAAAAGAGAAACAACCGAAAAGTGAAAATATGAAAGACAAACAAAAAGCGCACGTCTAGCCCGGTCTTTTCAAAAGGCGGTAAGATTAAACGAACAACAAATTGAAAAGTTTAAATCGATTGACTGCACGGTTTTCAACGGTTATTTGAATTGAGATTTAAGAGATTTATCATTTATTTGAAAGGAATTGTTTATCTTTGCTCAATTGAAAAGAGATTTTCAGAAGAACGTCTTGAATATCAGGAAATTTTCACTGTTGCCAATCGAAATTGACTTTTAATACACGGCTTCTTTTACATTTTCATCCGAAGATGACAATTTCTTTAGTTTGTTTCACAACTTCTGATTAATCTGGTGGAGCTTATCTGAACAGCTTTTTTTTAATTCTGTCGCCAACATCTGAAAATCTTTGATGGAACCCTCTCTTTACGTGCATTTAAAACTCTTTGGATATGCACTCCCTCTCACCAAGCACACCTCCAGAAAATCTCATTTAAAAGAACTTCAAAATTGGAACGACATTTAAAAATTTCTCATATTTTTTGTATGTAACTAATTTGCAATTCAAAATTGTGAAAAAGTGACAAAAAAAGCCAATTGCAACCATATACGCGAATAAATATAAGCGAAATCTCATCTTATTGAAAAAGTTCTGGTATACATTTCGTGCACAATAGAAGGCTCATTTACATAAGTGTAAAACTCAAACAATGCGAAATTACTGTGAATGGCATCATTTTCAACTAATATGCAAAATAGTCGAAATTTAAAATATAAACCACTCGTTGCATATGCTCATCTGGTGAATTCTCACACACGACTGCTCTCATTCGACATATGAATGACTCTTCGCATCGCTAACACCGCAATATGCAAATGACAAACAAAAAGGAGAACTAGGAACGGCAAGGAGTGAATGCAAAAATTCATGCAAAATAAACTAACGGATAAATTGTGTTTAATTTATTCAAAAAGTTCCCTAATTTTTTTATTTCCCCATTTTTACACTCTTTTTTGGGTATTTAAGGATACGAGAACTATTGAATGAATTTAAGTTCTCGATTTTTTAATCATTCATTCATTTTGTAATGAATTTGATTGAATCGCAGGGATTTTAGGGAATTTAGAAGATTTTGATACAGGCAGATAACAATTTCCATTCGTACGTGTGCTTGAAATGTTGATTGTTTGCGAATTTTATCTCAAATTGGAAGGAAATTCAGTAGAATCTGCAAATCTCATGTAAAAATTGTTTCGGACGAAGTTGGAAAAAAATAGATGGAAATCAAGAATTTATCAGTAGAATTGCGCTCACTGATAGAGATAGCACTGCGTGATGTACACTGTGACATTCTAT